TTGTTTCATTAAATTCTTCTGTGTCTTCCAATTCCTTTCAATACAGTGACTCAGTATAGTAGTCTTGCTTACATAGATCATCATTAAAAGACTTCTGTCTTAAAAAGTGTATCTTTCCACCTTTATGTCTAGTCTTTAATATTGATGAAAGAACAAAGAAGGAATTTCTCACATGTGGAGCCTTGTTGTTGCTGTTGTTCAGTTCCAAGAGTTAAGTACAATTCATGGTGGCCCCCCGAACAACACGTCTGAACCTTGTCGTACACTTTGCCAACCTCACAATCTCTAACATATATGAGTCCATTGCTAGTCATTGTCAACCCACCTGGTAGAGGGTCTTCTTCTCCTTCACCATCCGTCAACCTTTTGAGAAGCTCATCATTCTTGGAAAGATGAAGGCAGCCTCAAGGCTATTTTAAAATATTGGTTGAACATCTAGTAAAAAGTTCTGGTGGTAGTGTGTTATGTGTTTGGCTGCTAAACAAAAAGTCAGAGTTTCAAATCGACCAGCCACTCAAGAAAGAATGGTGGGCAACCTCCTCCCTTAAAGATTAATGATGTCAGAAGCCAGATGGAGGGTGCCCTGAGTCAAAATCAACTCAAGATGACAACAGGTTTTGTTTGGGTTATGTGTGGTAGAGTGGGTAGCACATAAAACAAGAAAACAAGCCCCTGTTTGGGGGTTATTTATGTAAGAAGTAGACATCTATTGATATAGTAAAAATATGCTTATACATAGATGCTGGACAATGACTAAGGATGACAGAAAAAGAATTGATGCCTCTGAGTTGTGGTGCTAGAGAAAAGTATTGAACATACATACCATGGACTGCCAGGAGAACAAATAGGTCTGTGTTGGAGAGGATGAAATCAAGTTTCTCCTTGGATGCAAGGACTTTGAAGCTTCATCTCATATACTTTGGTCATGTGGCCAGGAGGGACCAGTCCTTGGAGAAGGACATCATGCTTGGGAGGGTGGAGGGATAATACAGGAGTGGGAGATCCTGAATGAGATGGATTGACACAGTAACTGGGACAATGGGATTAGGTGTGTCAGAGTCAGTGAGACTGGCTTAGGATAGGGCAGGGTTCAGAGATATTGTACAGAGGTTACTATGAGTCATTGGTGACTTGATGGCACATAACAACAACAATTAGTACGTTACAGCTCTTGTGTAGACAAGTAATTATGTAAATAGGCATTAAATAAGGGTCAGGACAGCAAATGAGAGGGAAGAAAGGCTAGATACATGGCTTAAAAGGATTCAGAGTCTTAATCAGATGAGAAATGAAAATGTGGTTAAAAATATGAGGATGGGGGAGGGGTGGGCTGGGAGAAAAGAGCAACAATGAATGAATGGAAATCCTAAATCTCTGTGAACTTTCATTAAAATTAATGTGAGTATGACACAAATGTTTTGAGCTTGCTTAATAGTAAAAAAGTTGATGGTTTGAACCTACCCATTGGCTCTACAAAAGAAAGACTTTGCAATCTGCTCCCATGAAGATTACAGTGGAGAAAACCCTATGGGGCTTCATTCTACTTTATATAACCAAGAGACAGTCAACCTGACAGCAATTGACTGGTCTTTGCTATCGTTTTAAAATATTTTGTCTTAAGCATGTACTAATTTAGTTGATGATGCCAACATGAAACAGAAAATTGTGGAGAAGAAATAGGTGGTGTTAGAACCACATCAGTAATAAGTGCTTTGGTCTGAGAGGTGCTCAATTAGATAGTCAGCGTCATTTTTTTTTCTGTGACATTTTTAAAGCAAATGGTAGGAAAGAACACAGCTTCTAACTCAGTGTAGGAAAGAACACAGCTTCTAACTCAGTGTGGTACAGTGGGTTGGTTGTCAAAATAGCTTTTCTAGCCCATTAGCTTTGATTTCCACTACTTGGTTGGAAGGGAGTACACACTCCAGGTGGGTAAACAACTCACGATGGGATTGGTCCATTTTTTTCACCCATGTTTAAATGCAGCATACTAGCAGCAGAAAACGGGAATCTTTCTACCAGCAAGTAAGAAACAGAATGCAGTGAGTATCCAGCAGGGCCAGAGATTTCTCTACACCTCACACTGAGACATAGGTGCGAGTAGTTGCAGCTGTGGGGAACCAGAAACCAATGCAGGAGAGAGCTAATGTGGGACTATTGCCCCCCAAAGTCAGGAACGGCGGCCTTTGCCCAAGCTTGCTGGAAGACTAGGGGGGAAGATAACACAATTGGTAGAACTAAGGGAGCTTTGTAACGCTGAATTAAGCCAGAACTGTCCAGACTAAAGAATTATATATCCTGAACTGTAACCTATTAGCTTCTCTAATAAAACCTATAATTCTGAGTATGTAAATTCTGGGTAGCCATTGCCATGAACTAGAGGACGCCAGTGAGAACCCTGGGAGAGGTGGTTGACATTGGTAGGACTAGGTGTGAGAACTTGGGGACATGTCAGATTTTCTGGTGGAAGAAAACCTGGTGGAAACAGGTTTTGTGCTGTGGATGTTGTTGATGGGGACTGTTTCTCCTTGTGAAGTTAGTGGAGGTCAGATACCCCCCCCATCCCTATGCAGCCAGCATTCTTTTCACACTCAGCAAACAGTGCTGTTTTCCTAAACAACTGACTCACATGAGAATTAATAAAATGGGCAATTTCAGAATAAGAACTGACTTCAGCAATTTGAATGTGAATATATTTGTTCTTCATCAACATTCATGATATTAAAAACAAAACCAACCAACAGCAGTATTGCCATCAAATAAGCCCTGGCTCCTTCTGAGTTTCTGAGACTGTGAATCCTTGAGAGAAGACTGCTCATTTTTCTTCTTCAGAGTGACTGGTGAACTTGAACTGCCAATCTTTTGGTTGGAGCCTGAAGCTGTCCTGTAATCTCGAAGGTAGCAAGTTCAAGGCCATCAGCTGCTCTGCCGGACACTGCCAGAGAAGGATGGGTAATCTCTTGCCATGTGATTAGCTGTCTCTGAAAATTCAATCAGAGGGTCACCTATGGGTTGGTTCCAACTCTCCTGTACACAATAATTTTACAACAACATGCCACCAGAAGGGGACTCTAGTAGTCGAGTGAGTAGGGAGTTATGTTGCCAACCAGAGGGACAAAGCTTAAGTCCACCAGCAGCTCTGTGGGAGAAAGATGGGTAATCTCCTCCTGTGTGATTTACAGCCTCTAAAACCTGCAGGAGGGTCAATTATGAGTAAGTTCTTACTCAATAACTTGATTACTTAAGAATTAGTTTACATTGCCTGTGACTTCATCCATAGCCACTGGTGAGAGTCAGCGCCCAGAGCCATCAGGGGCTTTAAGCTCGTTGCCCACTGCTGTGGTGTGGACA